GTAAAACATTCTAGTCCAGGTTTGTCTATTATTGGAGGTCCATATTCAAAGAAACTTCAACACCCATCAACAAAATAAACTCCATATGAGATATAGTCAAGACAAACAAATATAGCAATCCATATTTAAATCTAGATATATTTTTAAAATCAACAAACGTCTGACTTTGTAGAGCTGATGAAACTTGCAGCAGTTACTTTCACTGGATTAGATGTAATGATATCACCTTCCCTTCCATCAGAACTACGTTCATTTTTCTTTTGCTTCTTTAAGCAAAAGAGCTAAAGACAAAGTTCTGTGTGTCTAGCATGTTAAAGTTTCAGTAGTGACAAAATGTAAAAAAGTTCAGGAGTCATTAATACTTTTGCTGCCTGGTGAAAATCAACTCCTTTTTCTGCACTTCGCATCATACTGAGGATCTGAACTCTCGGTTAATAATAAGCGAGTAACAGGCAGATGAATAAGATTTCGTTCAGAAAGCTTTTTTCTCCAGCGTGGAAGCGTGGAAACAATTCTAGGTTATCCACTCTCTAACGTTTCCTGTCAGGTACGAATGCACCAATTTGGTGCTATGAAGTAACTCGAAATTGCCTGCACTGTAATCCCGCATTACGAAGAAAGAAGTGCCAAGCTCAACAAGGCAGCCATTAATGTTAATTTAATATTTGGAAGGATGGCCAACATGAACTGAATACCTTGCTTGACTTTCTCCAATGCTAAATCTGCAGGCAGACTACAATTCTAAAAAGAGCACAGGAAGTTGACGCCATTGTTTGCAACTTCAACTTCTGATTGCTGATTGGCCTGGTTGAAATTCTGCCAGAAGAATCCGAATTAATGGGAGAAGTCTAGACTGTGCTTAGAAGGAATATTACAATCCTACCTACCTGCATGGTAGGTAGGAAGCCAGTGGCTAGGCTAATACTTTTTCAAGGCACTTTCTTCTCTGCCTTTTTCAAGGCAGCATGACCTTCCGAGCTCACACATCCGTAAGTTGTCAGGTAATCCATCTCTTGGAGTTTAATGTCATTTCCAAGTTCAAGCGTATTTGGAGTGCAATGATAGATGCTGACATGAATGCTTTACTACCTTTTGCGGCTCACAGGCAATTTTGCAGACACAAGGTGAAACTAAGCATATTATATTATACTAACACTTGGCATAACAAAGATAAAGACAGTGAAATGTTTGCACATAATAATGAGTGAGCATTTCGTCTTTGCATATTCATGCTTACACAGACTCAGTCGCCTCTGAACACCTGTCTCTTGACAGGATGACCTTGGAGCCTATGTATAAAGGATGTTAAGTGATGGGGAAAAAAATCATTAAAAGATCAAGAGTGGAGGATATGAGTAAGAAGGGAAAAATAAGAGTTCAGGGTAAAGACAGAATGGGTACAAGAAAAAAAAAAGGGTGGACAGGGCAGCATGGAGTGTGGGGGGGATGGAGGAAACTAGGGCCATGGGAGGAGAGATGACAGGAGGAAGAGGAGGGAGGTGAGTTTAGAGGCGGAGAGATGTAGAGAGTCGAGGAGCTGTTTCTGGGACGGCCAAAGCAGCGAAATGCTGCAGTGAAGCCGACCAGATGAGCTGGCCCGTACACAGCTACTTGCTCAGAGAGTTGCAGCACTTTCCTTTTCTCCCCCTCATACCTTCATTTCTCACCATCTCCACCTCCTTGATTAACCTTCACATCACCCCACACTTCGACCTTCGCTATCTCCTCCCCCCTTTCCTCTGTCTCTTTCTCTTAACGGCCACCGGTGAGTGAGCAGATTTCAGAACGCATCTGAGAACAAGTAGGGTGGGCCTCTTTTTCCCTGCCTTTTCATTTGTTATTATTTTATTTCTCTGGGACGATCGGTCTGTCACTCTCTGTATTTCTTAATACTATTTAAATTTAATTTTTTTTTTTACCTCATTTAATTTTTTCCAGTGCCAATGACCATATTGGCAGTTGTTCTTTTTTTGTGTGTGTCTTTCTTTTTTTTTGTACCACAGTCCTGTGTTGCTTTTGTGTTTGTATTTCTGTCGTTTTGTGTGTCTGCCGATGGGAAACAGCAACCAGAGGTGAGTCCTGTCCAACATTAAGAGCAGATCTGAAGTTTAATAGTTAGTGCACTCTGAAACCTACTTAGGAAGTTGAAGTTGTAAAGTGCTCAATGTTAGTGCTGACATGAGAAAAATCTCCAGACTATGCAGCTGTAGATTCATAGTTGGTGGTTTGATTTGAACTTATTTAAAAATGCCTGTAATTTACCTTGCACTCAAAAGCTCTTGGCAAAAAGATGTCAATATTGCAGGGTGTCAGCATGTTCAGATGGAGGGTTATAGGAGATGGGAATTCACCCACTTCTGTCTTTTATCTTCTTTTATTACATAAAATAATTTTAAATGAATTATTGCCTAATTCAGTTAAAACACTGGAATTTGCCATGTAATGACAGCTATACCTATATTTACATTTCAATATAGAGTGACATATTTTCTTGTGAAGTATGGTACCTTTACTTCATGTGCATAATTCATGTTGGTTGCTTCAAATTCATGCTTAGGTTTTATCTTTTTGCACACTGCAAACTGATCTCTGTGGACTGTCCGACTTTTCTTGTGCACCTGTGCTGTTGGTCCACTCTGTAGCATTTAGACCGATGCAATATGAAAGTCACAGCTATAACTTTATTTGTTATAAAGTTATTTGTTTAATCAGCAAAACTCTAAAATTGTTTTCTTCCTGAGGCTTTGGCAGAGATGATTGTCTTCTACTTACCTCTTTTGTGATTTGTCCTTGACTCCAGTAGTCTTTATCATGCTGATAGCGCAGTGTCCTGAAAACGTACATGCCCCCTTACACATTTCTGTTTTACTGCTGGTTTCAAGTTCACAATCAGCAAGCAATTTTTCATGTCAAATAATGATAACCAGAGTTAATACAATTAGTTTTCAAATCATTATTTATTTTGCAATCTGTCTTGACAAGGTCACTTTTTAGTCTTCTGACTGGAATTTCTGCTTTGCTTTAGATCATCAACCTGCTGCATTCTCCTTTTGAATTTTCTTGTAGAAAATAGATTTAATTGTTTTAACAATCACAGTAAATTGTCCAGGGCAAAAAGATCCACAGCAGCCCTGACTATCACACTATTACCCCCATGATTGAATGTTGTTCATTTTCTGAAATGTTAATATTTATGATCTGTTTTCAGATCAGAAATAGATTTTTGCTAAATAGTTGTGTTATTTCTGTTATTTTATTAGTATTATTTGTTTGGTTAGCAGTAATTTTGACATCATCAAAGATGCAATTTTTGCCTAGTTTCTTTCTTACTGCTATATTATGAACACCATACATAAAAGTTCACACCCAGTCGGACTCCAAAGTTGCCTAATGTGTTCATTTTATAATTATGCCTTTTATTGTGCATCTGAATACTTTTCATTCACATTGTTGACCTCTTTGAATTTGTGTTTTTTAATGAGCAAACTCATAAGCATTGACTATAACTTAGGCAAGTGAGAACGACTGGTCTTCAGATATTGTGGAGTTTTTGAGGTCTTGTAGCTGAGTCATTAACAGAATTACTGTAAAGTGAGCAACTCAACACAATTGATTTCCTGCTGTTACTTTGTGCTTATTCAGGAGTAAAACACACTGCACATTAATGGCTTGATGTAATCTGCTGGTTTTCCTTAGAAACTGTTTAAACTACTTTAAATAATTAAGCTTACTGCACTGTTTGATAACTAGGATCAATTGGAAAATACAAATTACTTTTTTATTTAGTGTCTTACATCAGTTGGGATCTGGTGCTGTGCAAATATACTGAATTGAACTAAATGGGAAATTTAGATGAAACTAAAGGTAATTTTATTTATATAGCACATTTTCAGCAACAATACAAAATGTTTGTATTGGCTATATAAAGAAAAGTATTCAATGTATTTAAGAGTCAGCTTGAACAAAAAAGCAACATACAAATAATCTAATGAGGCAAATGCTTTTTCTTGGCACTGCCATGTTTTCGGAGTGTTGTTATTGCTATGGTTGTAACAAGGTTGTAATATTCACACGAGGTCAGCATAGCCACGCCCCCCTATAATTTTCATATCACCAATCAATGCTGGTGCGTTTTGGGTACAGATCATGGACCACAGGCCGCTTTTGCCACACAACTCTACTCACTGAACCTCTGAGTTTGACAAACTACCAGCACAAAAATAAATCTTCTCAGCTTCACCGACTGCTTTGCTCTTCCTTAGAACAGAGAGGAAACTCAGGTCTCTCTCTGAATGCTTATTGATGCACCAGTAAAAATGGTTGGTGCAAACACCAACCATTTCGTGTCTCATTTTTAACCCGATAGCAAAGTTTTTATACGATGTGAAGGAATTCCTAACACTGTAAAGTCCCTTAATTTCCCCTTGGTATCAATAAATTATTTTTCAATTGAATTGAATAAAACTACACACTAAACTTTCAGACTCCCAAATTAGTGAAGATCATTAACCACTTGCAAGCTTTTTTTTTCAGGCAGGGAAATGTTTTATTCAATTCACCCTCTGATGCATGACATATTGACTTTACAATCTTCCATGAGTGGGTCCTTTTAGATCCATGTTTAAATCAATGTGTTTTATACTACTTTTGTCATTTTGATTCAAAATAATGTTTAGTATGATGCTTTCAGCTGTGTTTCATTTCACACAAGTATTGTTTTATGTTTGACTTTTTAAAACATTTTTTGAAAAAATTTTACATTTGTGACGATTTTTAAAACAAAACGCCAACAACAGCAATTTTACAACAGCAATGTTGAAACAATGTCAGTGTCAATTATGTGTGTCTGTGTGGGCAGGGAAGCCCACACAGACACACATAGAAAGAGCATGTTTCTTGAAACTAGCTAGTTAATAGCCAGGATAGTTAGCTTAATACTGAACTTTATGGGTATCATGAAAAACTAGTGGTGTGTTTGTGACAATACTTGATCACAGGAATGTTTCTTAATCTTTATTCTAATTATATGATGTGACAGAACTTGTTGAGAAGCAGCACAGGTCAAGCATTACCTACATGTCAAGTAAGTTTTTTCACAGTGAAACAAAGAAAATAGTGGAAATTCATTTCCAGAGGTGAGATACAATAATACAAAACCAAAAAATGTTATCGTAGTAATAATATTTTTTCTTTAATTTTTTTTATTTCTGTCTGCGTGGAAATACAAGACATCCTATCATAAACAGCATGATCTATGACATCATACAGCCAATATAGACATTCTTTACTCCACATAATATTCTGCCATCTGAACATGAACTGCAGTTCATTTTTCTCCAGAACATGCGTGGATACACAGGAAGCAATGTCCTCAAGCTAACACAAATTTGAATTTTTCCTACTGAAACAACTCTGCAGAAACTATTCAACATGTCAACAAATCACAGCTCCGTACTGACTGCTAACAGCTCAGTTGTCTAATGTTAATTAGAGGTCTTTGAAAACTGCATGTAATTATGACTATATCAATGTTACATCATAATGTGCAAATTTAAATAGGTTCAACCCACTTTTCAAGTAGTTCAAGTAGTTCCCAACCTTTTCTACTATTGTTTTTACATAAAAATAGGGGGGAAAGAAAGTTTCTCTTTTTTATTGTGTACAGTTCTGTTGTTTTATATATTGCACTCATAGATTTTCTCTCCATGAAAAAGTGTGTTCTCTTACTGTAAAATGCAGCTCCTAAATGACTTACTATTAAACTCCAAACTTCACCTCACCCCAGGCAAAACAAGAAATCACTGAGCTTCAGCTAATAAGCAAGTGACATTAACAACATACCATATAGTTCCAACGTGATTCTAATGGAACAACAGTCGATATTACATAATGTCACTAAATATAATAGCTGGGTCTACCAGCTATTAAACTTCTTGTCTTTATTGTTATACTTAGAGGAGGGGCTTGGTAATGAAAAACATTTAGAATCTATCAATCAAGGAAGCTAGGATCATTTCAATCTTACTGAACTCTTGTTTTTTTTTTTAGAACTGCAGTTCATTTTTTTCAAATCTAACCATAAAGTTTTAACAAGTTGTACTTTTACAAATCCAGTTTCCTCTGGCTCACATTTTCTAGCCATATCTTATTACCAGCTGAACTTCACAAGTATTTTATACATTTCTGATTTTTTTGCAGTGAACCTAATGTTATTGCAGTCTTTAAAAATAAACTCCACCTGGCAATAAACAATATAGCTCAGAGGATTTTTTAAAATATTTTCAAATATATTCAGTTTCATAGATACTAATCTCACAGATAAGCAGGTAACAGTTACAAGAGGAAAACTAATCACAATAAAGTGCACATAAGTTACTGACTCTAAATTATATGTCCAAAAAATAAATAAGAAATTTACAAAGAGTCATAAACTGCACCACTGACTGCTGAAGCAAACATGCTGTGACTCACATCGCAATGTGTTTTTATATCAAAAAGAAGTGATGCTATCTTCATATTAGATATTTCTTTTGATATATGGAATGTGACATGCATTTATGGCAGTGCTTTAAAATGTGCATGCTTCAGCTGCCAAAACAATTAATTTTACTAGCTTTGGTGGATAATTAAATCTCACAGATAAGCAGGTTAATTAGAACTACACTGTGTGCGCTTTCCAGTCAGTTAATCAACAGAATGTAAAACATTTTGTTGTTCATCATTTGGCATTGTTTTGTAAAATTACCACTGCTAGTACTAAGATCTGATGGGTCCCTGATATGCGTTATTACTAAATAACCGTTGTTTATATGTCTTTATTTCATGACCTTTATAAAATTGTACGACATTTATTGACAGCATTATGAAACATGATTGTGGGCGCAATGTAATTTTTGTTTTGTTTGATATGTCTCTGGCTGGCAAAATAAATAAATAAATAAAAAATCTGGTTTTGAATATTTCACTTCATTTGACACTACATATTTCTCATTCCTAAAAGAACAAATGAGAATAATTTTGAGTGAAATAATAATGTGACTGTTCAATCGGGTGAATCTCCAGGTAATAATATAGTAAGTTTATATTCTAAAGTTGTTTTGTTCTTTAAATAACTGTAAAATCAGTTTTGTCACGTACAAATGTGTGTTTTCTAAGGAACTCATAAAGTTCTGCAAAAAGGCCTAAAATAAATGTATCTTTTGTTGCAGTAGCATCTGTCAGAGAAAGGTTTGTAAAAGTCATATATTTAATTTTAGTAATTTATATGAAGGGAGGTAAATAGTTGCTTTTGACAAAATTACTAGTCCAAAGAAAGTCAGTCACTATGTACATGGTAATTAGTTGTGTGAGTGCTGGAACAAAAATATGTTTTAATCACAAATGTTATTGTTTCCAATTGGCCAAATTCAAGAGACCAAAATCAAACCTTTCAACAATTGACATTAAACAAAAAATACATATCACTGTTCACACTCAAATACAGTAGAGTATCTGACATGCAGTTGGCCTGTTTCTTTTCTGAACTTATTAAAATACCAAAATATTTTTAATAAGAATCTTTTGGACTCTAATTTACTGTACACAAAAGAATCTTTCTTCCAGATATCACAATCTGAATCCCAAAGAACATCTGTGGAGTAGAATTAATTCAAGAGAAGCAATAATGTTGCCAGCGTTTCTTCTGCCGAAAGTTAATGTTTCAGAGTGGCTCAGCCAGAGACTCAATTTAAATCTGATATTAAAGGGAACTCAAGATTACGGTGATCACTTTAAGTTCATTACTAAAGATAAATGCTCAAAATGCCTTGTAAAAGATGTTCGGTATTTATAGGAATTGTCTTTTAGGCTGTTTTGTAATATTTAGAAAGAGAGCCTTCCTTCATTTAGTATCATAAATAAAGTTAATATCTAAATTTGCAATTAGTATTAATAACTTAACTGCATTGACTATCTGAATGTTCCTATAATATTTTCCCCACTGCATCCATGTATTCAAAATAGAGGTTGTTTAGTCAGTGCAAGGTCATAGTACTGCAGGAAAAGCTCATTTTCTTTTGGGCTTTATTTTACAATTTTTACAAGGCAGGCAACACATTTGTCCAGATCTATATCTCCTTTTATAAAAGCATTACCCCAACTTTAAGGGATTTCTTTGTAGGTTAGGTTTAGGCCATTATGTAAAAATATAAAATAGTAAATAATAATAATCTTCACCAGAAATATCACAGACATTGTTTTTCTGTTTGAATTAAATCTGATAAAATGCTCTGAACCACAATTCACATAATATTAACCAGGTCACTTATTACATTAAAAAAAAAAAAAAAAAACATAAATGTATCACTAATCTTTCAATGAACATTAACAAAGGCAATTAATAGAAAGTGACATTGAAAGAAGACAGTGTGCACACAGGTCCAGAAAGTTTTAATCTCTTCCTGTGATTGCTTCTAGCTTTCCCGCTGACTGTAGTAATGTCATTCAAATGCCACCTTCAAAGCTCCTATATAAGACACAGTGCACCTCTAGAGTTTTTCTATACTCTTTTTATATTTTTATTTTCAAAATATCTAGAAAAGGTAAGAAGTCTATTTCACTTAAACAATTTAAAGACTCAAAGATAAAGGTGAGAGTGCAAAGAGCGTACCATAATCATTAACTTCTTTAAATCGGCGCTGTTGCAAATGTGATTAGTTGTATTTGTGCTTTTTCCGCTGTGACAAAAAAAAATTGTCTCCTCTAAAAGGCCAAATGAATAAAGGCATCCGATTTGTCAAAAGTTCACAATTGTTGGAATGTTCAAGAATAATCTCTGGCTCAGACATGAGTAGACATCACTGGCACAAAAACATAGATTGGCTGAGCTGTCAAGCAACAGCTGACCGGCTGTTATTACAGCCAGTCAGCAATACTAACGCTAACTGCATTAGCTATATCGAGACATGAACTGAAAAAAGCTTAGCTGAGCACAATGCAGGATCCCTTGGCCTTATATTATGTAAATTTAAAATATCAACATTTTGCCTTCATAAGCCTGTCACCAGACATTGGTAAGATTACAGCTTTTGAGTTTTTTCTTTGTTCTTCTTAAAATTGTAATAAGATCTAAAATGTGCAATTGAAAACAGTTTATGGTACCATAAAGTGCCATTTTTACCATCAGTAATCTTTTAGCCTGCTTTGTAAACCTCTATTTTTTTGTACTTGTGAAATTTGTTTTATCTGAACAGCAGTTCTTCTGGATTAAAATAAACCTTGGTTTTCTTCATTTGGCTTGATCTATCCTGAACCTTTTGACGTAATGACTCAGACTCTGCTGTAAACCTTGAGAACTATAAAATAAAGAACAATAAATATATATACACATTGTAATTTTTTTGCCCAAAGATATGTGATTTCTGTGTTATTGCATTCTAGTAACTTTTAACCGGTTTTGAGTCCTCAAACACTATTTTCTTTAAACTCAATTTAACCAAGACCCAAGGTGATTTATATGTACCACTAACAATTATTGATGCATATGCAACACATACCAAAAATCATATTTGATCCAGTCAGAATAATTTGCTGACTGGAAGTTTATTTATCTAATATAGCTAATTTGGGATTGAAATACCAAAATGTACATCTGCTGTAAAATTTTACATTCCCAGACCACTGTAATGTAGGCTGAAAAAATCAAAGGAAGAGAAAAATATTGTCATGTTGAAATCTCAGATGTAAATTATAACTTATCCAGTATTGACCTGACAATGGTGGGAAAGAGGTCATGGAAATATCAGGAAATGCATTATTATTGTTGATGAAATCTTGAAAATATCGATAAACTAATTCAGAAGATTTTAGTCCATGATTAAAGGAAGAAAGCTAAAAACAGCCATTTCATTGATGAATATGTACATCGATACATTCAGTCCTTACAAACACAAGATTTTCTCTGTTTTGTGCATGTGGCACACAAGACACACATGCAAATAGGTTCAGCCAGTGAGATGATTCAAGCAGTGGTAACTATAGTTTCTGAAGGAAGTGGTGCACAACTCTGAAATAAAAAAAGAGGAAAAACAACGTTATAATTTTAGAAACCCATTCATATATGTACAATGCTGGCATAAACAAACCTGAAGATATAACCCAAATCAGGAAAAATAAGTTACTGCTCAAAAAAAAAAAAAACTCATCTTGATAAGTTTATTACATCTATTTACCAAAACGAGGAGTAGGAAGTCGAAGATCCAGAGACTGGTCCAGATTACTGCGGTAATCTGAAATAAAGTAAAAAAGAAGAAAAACAAGATGTTTTAGCAGTAAGCTGTTTTATTTTTGGTGCTTTCCTAAGTGCTAAACTTCGGAAAGTGATTTTTTTTTTTCTGTACAATGAAAGTTAAACTATACATATTATTTCCAGACCGAAGCTCCTCTGTCAAATTTAAAAAATTTATATATAACATCACTTTTTGTTTACACAGTGGCAAAATTGATTAAATTTGTTTTGTACTTTTTTAGACATATTGATCAATCAGACCCCTTGAGCAACAGTCATTCGAATGCATTAAATAGTCGTACACAGATATGTACTGGTAGTACATCAACAAATGGCCGAGGGATAAGCTGAAATTGAACCGGCAACTCTCCTATTTAAACACCACTACTCATCTCGTTGAGCCACCGTCAACTCCACATGATAAGGACGCGCAATGTTTGCAAACTATAGCTGAGAAGTTGTTCACAAGAAACATGGAGGCTAACTAAACCTGACTTACAGCATTTTTGTTTGTTTGTGTTTGGGAAGAATGTAGGGCTACTGTGTTTTACAAAATGTTTAATTCCGCATTCAACTTTTAACATTGTCACTTTACGAGGAAAAGGCGCTTAATTGCGAAGTCAAATTTTTTTTAACATTTTATAAAAAACAGTATTTATAACAACTAAATGTAGCGTAGGTACATGATTTGCTATAAAATAGCACTTTGTGCCTGGAGAGTACGTAATAATTCCCCTTTAAGCTTCTATATCTAATCTGATATAGAGTAGAACTAATGCTTGTCATGACTTACAGTGCACACAGCTGAATTACATTTTTTAAGTAGCAAATCCACATAGAGCAGGTGCTGCTGAACCACAATAGATTTGATTATGGCACTAACAGATTTGTCTTCTTTGACAATGAAGACGATTCAGTTGTTAAATTAGGATTTTTATGTTCCAATTTCTTACTTGGTTCCCTCCTCTGCAACAGCTTCAGGCTCGAGCTTCCCCTCCTCTTCCATCTTTTCCTCTGAAATCAGTTCTTGCTTCCGATGTCGGCGGAGACATTTCACCACCACCATTGAAAGTATTAGCAGAGCTAAAGCTCCCCCCACTGATGCCCCAATAGCAACAGCAATGGTTGAATCTCTTGGAGGGGGAACTGAGAGAAGGAGAGGAGAGAGTTAACTTTTCTTGCAGACAAAGAATGGAGTCAAGTGCAGCGCTCGCTAAAAGCTCTGATTAAACAAGTGGAAAGAAAGTGCTGTTGAGTTAGCCTGTATATGATGGGGGTTGTGTGTATATGTGTGTGGAAGAGCAGCAGTGATGCACGAAGTTCAACTTCTTGTTAGTCATTAATAAGTAAAAAGCTGACTCATCACAAGCAGATCTCAACTGTTCAGGAAAACAGACACAGACATTCAGACACTAACGTTACTTGAATTACATGGACACATAAAAATTATTATGTCATAAAAAATATAAAGTAATGTTTTGTAATCGTCTACATTATTATTGTCACTGAGGCTCAATAATTGTCTACATCAAGCAGGGATAGTTGGAGATACAAACCACTGCCCATGTTGTTTTATGTCATTAGCTGAAAAGTATGGAAACAGTTGTACAGGGTTATGCTTTATGTATTCACAGAAGATTGTTACGTCACATCTTACGTTCTGTGACAACATTGAAGTTAATGACACCATGTCCTTGGATGCGATCTGGGGGGTTCCTCACATAACAGTTGTAAAGCCCCTCGTCCTCCAGTTGAACGTCCTGTAGCGTGATCGATAAGTCATTCTTCTCCAGGTTACCAGAAAACACAACCCTGTCTCCAAACCGGTTTGAAGGTACTGGTTGCATTCCTTTATTCTTATCATAAGTCATGAACTAAGGGAAAAGAAAGTGTGATTTGAATCCAGGTTTAAGCTTTGAAGGCGCATATTCTTGGTATTAATGTATTTAAGGATTTGGAAGCTCACCTTTTCCTCTGTATTGTTTAGGGTCTCTTGGTAAGTCCAATTCATAGCAAACTTGGTTCGGTCAATCTTGTAGCAGGAAGTGAAGGTGCAGGGGATTGTGACAGTTGTTCCATTGAGTGCATTGATGTAACTGGACACTAGTACATCCATGCTCGAACAACCTGTTTTAAAAACAAATGATGTTAATGATTCAAATGAGAGTAAAACATTTCTTAAACTAGTGGCCTTTTTAAAAATGAAGATTTTGATTTTAAACCCATAGATCAGCCATCATAACATAAAGCTTATGTTGAGTCGGGCCTGGTTGGCCGGTTCTGCAGAACAGTGAACTTTCAGGATACTGCCCATCAGCCATCAGGTGTGAGACAAAGTACACTGTGAGATGGATGGCAGACAGGCCATTAAATGCACTCAGATGAAAGTGGAGTATGTTGGAATGTAATTGGAAGCCAGAATGGAAAGAACATATAGTACAAATTCATTGCAGAAAAACCTTAGTCAATATTTTTACTCGTAAAATCTAACTTAAATAATAATAATAATAATAATAATAATAATAATAATAATAATAATAATAATAATAATAATAAAAGACTGTCTTTGGTGCTTTTTCAGAATGTAGCAAGAGTTAAGTAATTTTTTTTCTCCTTTTAATCTTCAGACACAAGGAACGGTCAAGCATTGCTGGTAAGTAGGATAAATTTTATTTTTCGTCACATCATCATGAGGCAAGGGTTAAATAACCTTTGAGACGAAGAAATTAGGCTTCTGTTCAGAAGCATGGTTCATCCTTGTGAACAAATATACAAATACAAAATAGACTCTGGGGGTTAACAAACTTCCCAGTTTATATATTCAGGAGAACCCCAAGCACCCTCGAACTGAAAGAAAGATGTGTTTAACATAATATTGCTTATATATTGTTATTTATTAAGTAATAATATCCAAGATATTTTATGTGACCCAAACCTCTGCATGCCAATTCAAGATTACGTGTAATTATAGGAGTAATTACTAACAGTAATTAGAAATATTGTTAGTTGTACAAGTTTGTTACTCTATTGAAAGCCTTTTGTCTCATCACAAACCTCCTCACAACCCCCACCTCACTCCAGCCCATGTTCTCTCAGCTGTGTTGTTTGTGTGCGATGGGACTCTGCACCAATCTCTCCTCTGCAGTCGAGTGTTTCTGGCTCCCTTCCCACAGCTGCTGCACCACTCATAAGCCTGCATCTCTGCACCACACAGTCAGACAACCCCCCACCTCCCAACTCCACCCACTCAAAGTATATAGAGTTTACACATGCACACATATTCATATGTGATGGGTCAGGCCACTTTAGATGGCTAACACACAAACACGCATGCATGCAGTTCACCCTTGAGGTCTGCATCATCAGCAGTGAGCTCACCTCTCTAAATGTGCTATGTCAATGTCATCTTTGCAAACAAGCCTGCAGGTACACACACCTCACAGTGATGCATTAAACAAACACCTCTGTCCATCCACTGCACAAAGTGAAGTGCTGCAAACATATGTGCCCTTGTTACAGTCAGTTTATAACAGCATGAAGAACCTTGTGGTTCAGACTCCTGCTGACTCAGCAGTCATGTGGCTAGTAAAAAAGGGAGGCAAATGCAGAGACTTCCTAACATGAAATACTGCAGTGAGGCCCCCTCATGTGGCTCCTCCCTCCCTCTGCCTCTCCCTTTTTACTCTCCCCATCTTTGTCCACCTTCCTTTCCTCATCTCACCTCCATCCTGAAAGCTTTCTAAAGCCCTCAGCCCTCTCACTCCTTTAGCATCTGAACTTTCCAGAACTCTCTACATTTCTTTAGCTTATGCATTTCTGAAATCAGTTGTATCACAAGACAGGTCTGTTACATGCTGTTTTTTCCCTTTCACACCAGGATTTTCATAGTAAGGGACTCCACTTATAATGACGTGTTTTTTTTTGTGTTTTTTTTTGTCATTTCCGAAAGCATATTATGTGTTGGTTCTTCTTTATGCATCATAATTGGAAAAGGTCAGAAAAAGTCTGTTTGGGGGTGCCTCTGGACTTTTTGGTACAAGGACACAGGACCCTAAATGAATTGGGAAGCTGGAAACTGCTGCTCATCAACTGTTTACCTCCGCTCAACTCAGTCATTTGAAGTGATGTTCACTTCCAATGAAATTCACAGAACTCTGCTTGCTTCAAATTATGAATAGGGTTAACCCCTGGATTTTTCTAATCAGACTCTTTGAAGCCATTCAGGCTGGCGCTTAGAGTTAAAACTGAAAGGGTACATATAAAAAAAAATATATAATTAAAAAGACAAACTTTTTTTGCTCCTCTTTAGGAAGTTAAATCACCCCAAACCTTTGTTGCTTTAGGTAAGTTAGAATAATCAAAATTATTTGGATTTGCTAAATTTCACAAGAATGAGAGAATGACTACTTCAGAGGTTTATTTCTCAAAGGTTTCAAAATCAGTAGTTTGCATACAGAATGACGACTATATTTTTAAGCAATCAATTGAAGACATCATGGCTTTGGAAGTTAACTAATAAAATGGAGGCATACCTCTGAATGTCTTTCAAAGTCACATCTCAAACAAACTTCTTTTGACATTGTAAGAAATTGAAAGGAAATCAAACAACAAGATGAGGAAGAAAACTGTGGAGCCGCACTTGCCTGGTTCATCCTTGGGAACAATTGATGATTTATCTGTTCAAACAATTATATGCTATGATAGGCATGATCAGGAGCTCTAAACATAACATTTCTCCATAAGGAGCCAGCTTCTGTGTCCCAGAGGTGAATGTGTTTTCGACTGAAATATGCAAATCGACCCCAAAACAAAAGTCAAAGACCTTGTGAAGGTCCTGGCTGAAGCTGAGGCCATTATTCACATGGCCTAAATGTGACCACTCAGCAAGGAAGAACACATTACTCCAAGAGAAAGACTGTAATTGGATGCATTTACATTTGCTGCTCAAAATGTTCATTAATCCACAACATTCTACTCGAGCAAATAAAGTAAAGGAAAATTTGTTTATTTGCTAAAACCAGAGAAGTTTAGTCAAATGTAACTTCAGACAGTGAGAAAAGAAGGTGGAAGGTGCTTGGATCTTTTTATTTGATGCAAGTAATCTTGTGGTTTTAACTGTGCATGTTTTCTGTTTCTGTTTTGTCAGAATCAACATGGAAAAGAGGTTTGAACACAACCTGCAGGTGTTATGCCTCTGAAGTGATGACAAATAGTCTGCACAAACAGCTGGCTGGCATATTTGAAGCAAATATATTACTTCAAATTGGTGCGTCATCACTTTGTGACATTTGCAGATACTGGACAGGTTGCGGTAAAGTATGCAGAGACAGAACAGATCACTCCACCTCTGGAAACGGTGTTTTCATCAGTAGCAGTGACATTTGAGGACCGCACAAAACTATTCTGATAAAATATGCAACTATTGTTTTTAATTATTTGGTACTCGAGTTGTCTGACATAATTTAAGTGTAACATCCTACTTTTGGTTATAAAACGTTCATTTCTGACCATTACAGAGACACATATGAGTCTTGGAGCGAGTTGATAATTCAACAGACAATGTCAATTATTTAAATATAGGCAATTAGGGGTGGTGAGGAACTGAGTGCTTTAACTTAACACCAAAAATACTCAAATCTCATCTATGCTTGCTGTACATATTAATCTAAAACCGTAACAATATCTGTTGGGACAGACACATGATCAAAAATAGGTCTGATAGAATTTTTATGACTTGACTGAACTCCGATCAAGCATAGCACAGCATTCTGGGAGATATAGTTAAGTGAAAGCTTTTAGCCACTCAACTTCTCATGACCCAGCTATGAAAGATTGGTGCCATCAACTAACTCACTCACTCTTTGGTTATCTACCAATAACTTATTGTGCAAAATGCATACTAGCAGTTTCATGTTGCCCCCAACATATTCAGTCATACTTCACTCTTTGGAGGTCTTTGTGTACTCCAGGCGGGCCAGCTGGACTCAATGCGGGCATCCACCGGGCACATCTCCACAGAGATTATTTTTTTAAATTTTTATGACAGCGGATGCATACTCGGTGACGCACTGACTTGCACAGAGACGGCTCAGCAGGAAGTAGTGTTCACTTTGAAATGTTTTGTATGGAACACCCAGCTGAAAATGTTGATAGTCATTGCAACCAGTAAATGAGTGGTGTGACTGCCACTCTGTGCTGCACTGATATTTGTTCAGTGGCTGCCCTGGTCAAGAAGAAATGGCACTAGAGGCTCACCTACATTATTAAACTTAGTAGGATTGTAGGAAATGAAGAAAGTTTTCAAGAAATGTATTCAATCAAAATGCTTTACTATGAAAGTTTATGCAGACAGTGTCCGGTCCACAGAATACACACATTGCACCTGAGTATGGGGAAGTACTTTCCTGAACTGCTTAATTATATCAGGGTGGAGTGAAATGAGTACAATGGCTCAAGAGGGAGTTATGGATGAAAGAGGAAACATCATATTACTATAGCAGTATTTTGAGTATTTGAAATGAAAAAAACAAATCAACAATTTCAGATATAGATTGATATGAAATGTTTGTAATGATACATTTTTCAGTCATATCGACCAGTCTTATTCTTTAATTATCTCTACTACAGAGAAAACTCATACATCTTCTACATTGCAGCACCCAGAAGTCAGTGCAGCTCACAAAAATCCCTGATATTTGGTGGTTACCAAGGACATGTGAAACAGAGAAGTGATTTGGGGTATTTTTACCATACAACAGGCCAAATCTTTAGAGCAAGTTAATGTCATTCTGTTTGTCTGGCGTTTATCTTTCTTTTTAAAATGTGATATGAATAACTACAGGAAGCAAATTCTTTGTTTTGTTTTAAAATTTTAGCAAAAATCTAATCTTATTTTTGTTTCAAGGACTTTGAAGGACTTATCCATGCCTTCATTACAACTCATTTGGATTATTGCAATTCTTTATATAGTGGCATAGATAAATCACAGATTCATCGACTTCAAATGATCCAGAATGCAGCAGCACAGCTTCTTACAGGAACCAGGAAGCATGACCATATAAGGCCTATACTGGTTAATTTACACTGGCTGCCTGTTATGTATCGAATAGATTTTAAGATTCTTTTATTAACTTATAAAGTTTTAAATGGGTTAGCTCCCCCTTATCTTCAGGACCTTTTAAAATTTAAGTCTGTGTCCAGAACCCTCAGATCAAACAATCAGCTTTTACTTACAGTCCCTCGGACCCGACTAAGGAAAGGAGATCGGGCTTTTTCTGTTGTTGCTCCTAATCTGTGGAACAATTTCCCTTTTCAGATTAGATCTGCTAACAGCCTGGATCATTTTAAATCGCTTCTCAAAACTCATTTTTATTCTTTGGCTTTTAATTGAAGCAATTTTTGATATTCTGTTTTTATCTACTTGTGTTACTGTCGTTCCTGTGCAGCACTTTGGTGCAGTTCTATGCCTGTTTTTAAAGTGCTATATAAATAAATTTGACATTGACATTAAAATATATCTTCACAGACATCTACCAACTATCCTCAAATTTCCAATTTCTAGTATAAGTTCCTACGTCCTCCTAAAAATAAATGGCTATAATGAATAGCAACTACAGAAATACTTGCATGCCATTTGAAAAATGCATAGTTCCCAATGATGGGAAAATATGCTGAGTGACTTGCTCTTATGAATAGTTATTGACTGTGCCAATGTCTTTGTGCTGCTGCCCTCTAGTGCATTGTCTGAGGAACTGTGACTCTGCAGTTGCTAAGCAAAGTTTAGATGATGACCATGAAAAACAAATTCATCCAATAGTTTTGCCATCAGCCACTGTGATTTTGATTTCTGATTGCAGGCAATACTAAAACTTTGGTGTTGTTTGAATTATGTTATTGAAATGCCTGGACAGAATTATGAAGAAATATCCTGAATAATTAAAGCGATGTGTTCATTCATTGAAGATGAATAAACATAGGGTTGCTTCTTAAATGATATTAGTTGTGGATGAGGCTGTAAATTCCTTAAAAAATTTCTTATAACATTAGAATGAAATGCCTAATTGCATTGTTTTCTTCAACTAAATTATGTTGCCCAAAGCAGAATAAAAGTAATAAAATTAGAAGTCTTTTTAAAGCACTCAAGCACTTCAGGACAAGCCGAATAACAGAAAACACAAATTAAAACACTAAACATAAACAAATGCACAGTGACAGGCAATCACAGTGAGAAACAATCTTATATAGGTTTGTGTTTGGACTTGAACAGAGTATCAATATCGTCTGGAGGGAGAGAGTAGCAGAATTTGGGAGCAGCGCTTTCTCTCACTCTGCTCCCCATGGTGCTGAATCAAGCAGAATGGAAAGCTGCATAAATGTGAATGAGATCTGAAAAGTAGGGCAGGGCAAGGTTATGATGAATAACCTTGAATGCATACAGGAAATTGTTGAAATGTATACTGAATTTGACAAGTGGAGCTGCTGTAAGACTGAGCTCATGTAGTGAAAAGAGGGAGTTTTATTAATGATGCGTGCTGTTGAGGACAATACCCTGACTTTTAATCTCAGGTGAGGGGAGAATGTAGAACTATCAAGTGAAAGATAGAAACTGTCAACTTTGGATATTACGGATTTGATTTCTGACCAGGAGGATCTCAGCTTTGTCGGTGTTTAGTTTAAGTAAGTTGGAGAAGAACCAGGATTGTATTTCAGATAAGCAAGAGGTTAGGGAAGAGACTGGGTATGTGGCATTTGGCTTTACATGGAAGAGGGAGCTGTCCACAATGGGAGATATTTCTATTGTAATATTGTCTGAAAGCTTAACATTTATTTCACTGTTATGCAGAATTGCCAAAAGGAAGATTGATAAAGTCTAGTGGTCCCAGGATAGAGGCCTGGGGTACACCGGTTGGGACAGGGGAAGGATAGGAACAAAAGAACTTCAGTTGAATGGAGGATAGCCGGATAGGTAGGAATGAAACTAGTCAAGGAGTATGCAAGCAATGCCAATTGAAAATAATTTGTGGAGAAGGATGGAGTGAGAAATTGTATCCAAGGTCTCACTCAGATCCCGCAGGATGATAATAGAAGGTAGCACACAGCTACCACCAGGAGGTTGTTGATTTTTATGAGGGCAGTTTCGGTTTGGTCAAACCATACCGACTTGAAATGTTCACAAATGTGAGTGTACATACTGTAGGTAAGTTAAAGACAAGGATTCCCCCAGTGTATTTAAAGCCTGATGGCCTGTCAGGCTTGTAATATAAGTCAAAAAATTGTCTTTTTAACATTAATTTGCAGAATGCATGAGTAGTATTGGTATCACAGGAAAAAGTTTGCAGTGAGCATATTTTCACTAGGGATCATCTTTGCAAGAAACACTGACGTTCTCTTTGGAGGCAAATAGAGGTGGAAGGACAGATTTCTCCATACCCACCACAGCAATCTCTTTTATGAAAAAATGATTACCACTGGATTATATAAAAAGTGAGAAGTTGGATTTAAGGGGATTAATAAGTCTGAGCGACAAGAATACAACATACATTATGCGACATCTTCAGGTATGTGAGGAGGGAGTAAGTCAAGGACCAGGAGATCTGTAGTTGTAAGTTTGTCAAGTTAGAAAATGAAACCTGTCAACTGCTCAAATTGCCCAGAGCAAGCATAGGAAAATGGAAACATGTCAGATTGGAGACTTGTAATCTGCCTAATGCAAACTAACTGACATACAGTCAATTTAAAGGATTTAATGCTTAATTCTATAATTTTCATAGATTAGTTCTGTGCAAACAGAGTGGTCATTTTTTGCTTAGTCAGCAATGGTCTACGTTGGGCTCCCTAGCTAAATATGTGTGGCCCCATTCAACCGTGGTCTGGCCCTGTCTAAACATGCAGAGTGAAAACACACGGCAAGTGTGTTGTGTTACTTCATCCCATTGTGTGTTTCTGTGCGACAGTAGTGGATTCAGATTCGGTTATGTTATAAAACAACAAAGAAGGTTTCTCCATGCTGTGCGTCACAATTGCATTTAAACCCGGTGCAAGTGCAAGACTAAATGAAGATGTGATTTATGCATATGGACCTTGAAAAGGGTCAGAAATCTGCTCAGCTGAGTAATTGAGGGGGGAAGAGGGTTTTAATGTTTGGCCTCATCGGTTAATTAAATAAAATGGCTTCATTCGGTTACAGTGTGTTATGTTGCATTTACCCCCATCCCGTTCATCTATAGCCTTATAATGAAACACACACTCATATATCAATGAAATATCAGTGGGAAAAAAACCCCCAAAACAAAACAACAGTGATCACGCCATCGTATTGACTGATTGATCCGCTAATCATCAGCGTCGGGATGTGAAATGCTTTTCTGTTTTTGCGTCTTACCAGAGAGCGAGAGCAGCAGCAGCAGCGCGCTCACCAGCTGAACGCCAGACCTCATCTCCTGCTCGGGCGAAGACATTTTATTATCCTTCCCCTTAAAATCCTGTTATGTGATGGGAAAAAATAAAAATAAAAACTAAATATACCCCTCCAAGACTAATCTTGGTATGCGCGTTTAAATGCTAAAAAAAAAAACAAAAAAAACAAAACCCAGTAATTTATTTTTCGAGGCAGAACATGGCTGGCAGTGTCTGTAGCCTTGTAACGGTTGATCTCATGGTTGTCGGTCCGTTACCCGACGGAGAGCAGAAGCGAGAGCAGATGTTCAGATGGAGAATGTCTCCTCCTCCTGGAGGTAGGAAATTTTTTATTTTATTTTATTATTTTTTATTTTTTTGATAAATTGATTGTGTGCTCCTACACCACACAACTAAAAATAAGACAAATTATTTATGTGATGGTGGTCTCATGTTTTTTCCTTGGCTTTTCTGAAACTCTGTGTGACAGAATGTGTCTGGTCTTTAAGCATAAATTGAAATTTTCTTCACATGAAAACTAAAAATTATTGATTGTCACATAGTAATAATAATATTTTGCCTATTAATAATATTTACATTCTATTCTGACACCCCAGACAGACAGCATGGTGGCTGCCTTATAAATATTGAACAGATGTGCTTAATAAGACAAAATATTTTTCTGAGAGATTTTTTTCTGGCAATAGTGTAATAGTGAGTTTTCACATTACACAATACAGAAGAAGAGCGTAACAAAATGGCACACATCTCTGGGCATGTTTAGAAATATATCCATAGATGTTCTCCAATTAAAATTCATTTTGAATTAACATATCAGAAGCATAAAATCAATGACATCATAAAAAATTTCAAAATATACTTTTCAGATCATGTCATTTTCAAAATATCAGAAAATCCATACAGAAAAAAGATTTTGTAAACAACATTAACAAGGATGTTTGGCATTGTGCCTTGAAAGCAACTCTGCTTAGAAGAAGCAGCCTGACATGCCGTGAAACACAAAATTAAACAGAGCCCATCCCCAATCTTTAATCCTTCCCATACTTCCTGGATGACAGACAGAAGTATAAAATTTTATTTTGTACATATATATATATATATATATATATATATATATATATATATATATATATATATATATATATATATATATATATATATATATATAGGCTATATATATATGAATTAACGAAGAAATGGAAGTTTCTCCTCTTTACTGTCCCACAGTGAGAAAATGCAGGCATAAAAGCAGCAAAGGCATGTCGGTCCATTGTGGCATGTACGTTTACACAAAGACAACAGTATTACACATATACAATACAAAGAATAATATACTGTGAAGGAAGGGAGCAACTGTAACATAAAATACTATGCAGTTGTGAAAAATATAATACTCTGTTCCAAGGAAAGTGCAACTAAGATATATTTTTTAAACATTACAAAATGTGCATGTGTAATTGTGTATTGTGTTCAGAATGAATAATTCTGTGTTTTCCTTCTATCTTTTTTTAACTTGTTGCAAAGCTAAAGCTAAAGGAAATGACATGTTAGTAAACACCCTCAAGAGTAGCGTTAAAGGATATGACACACTAGGAAACGTCTAAGCGTAGCTTAGATAGAGACTAACAAAGAGAATGAAAAACCTTTGTTTGATGCCATGTTGTTCTACTAGTCTAGTGGTTCCCAAAGATTTTCTGGGTCCCCTTATGGATCACAACAACCCCCCCAAAATAGAAAAAAGAATCAACTGGACACACACATCGTTCAGCCAGACATAAACCTATACACATATTTTGTTTTCAAACTCCATCGAAGTTCATTTTATACTTCAGTCTGCAATGGAACTGCCCCCTGCTTCTCCCTCCCCAAGAAGGCGCGCCCCACACTTTGGGAACCACTGTGCTAGTCCTTAATAGTGTCTTGAACTATGGACCAGCTGTATTTTGGTTTTAATAAATGGAATTCCTGAATTTAACTCATTTCAACCTCATACATCAACCTCATACATCAAGAATTTAGCATAGAGAAGGATAATTCTCCACAAATAAAGACAATAGATTTTTTTCACAATAGATTAAAATAATAATAATCATAAAAACAACAACTTTGCAAGCAAAAGATGTGCAAATACTAGCAGAAATGTTATTTGAAATAAGTAAAACTGCAAATGCCAGCAGTCATGTAAGCACATATTAAGTTCATTGAGCTGTAATGGTTATAGAGTCTAATAGCTGCTGGGAGGAAGGATTTCCTGTATATGCATTTAAGATGCATGAGACTGGTACTGATGGAGGAAACATCAGTACCAGCAACAGCAACAATTCAGCAGCAGCTTCATGGCTGGGAGACATTGTTCTTTAGTGATGTTATTTTAGCCAGAGTCCTTCTGTCTCCCACCAGCTGCCTAGATCAGGGGTGCACCTGGCACAGAGCTGACCTTCCTGATCAGCTCATCTCACCTGTTGATAAGCTCCTGCTCCAACAGTCTACACCATAGGATATGGCTGGTTTCACCTCAAAATGAATGAAGGTCTTCGGCCGCGTCGTACACCACAAAAGACCTCAGCCTCACACGCTGCCAATCTATGCCGTGTGCTGCAGACACTCTGCAGGTCTCCTTTTACCTGTCAGCTAAGCTGTCAAATACTGGACATGATCACTACAAAATTTCCATACTATGAACCCTCCAGAATAGAAAGACCTTATTTACAATTCTTAAAACTGCATCTTTTCTTCATAATCTCCAAGATATTGGCAACGTTTGGACGGAAGAGACAAAAGCAACACACATCCCAAAAGCCTTTGGTTTGGGAACAGAACACACACAACCAAAAGCTTTTGGTTGTGTGTGTTCAGTTTCATCTGCAGGGATGATTTTTTTTTTCACATGGAAACATATTTGGTGTGACTGCTCTTTATCTCAGTAAACAGTTATTATTTAAAAAGCTTATTTTTGTGCATGCTTAGGTTATTTTGGATTTTACAAAAAATATTTAGATCTGTAAGGGGAAAAATATTTTTTCACAGCACTGTACAAGACACACACGGACATTACATACAGACAAAAATATAGTATAACCAGGAGAGGGCGCTGTGACTCCATGGTAAGTCACTTGTGTTAACTGACACGCTGGAGTTAAACTTGTGTTCAAACCAAAGTTGCTCAACAAGCTTTTAAAGGAGCATCCTCTTTGCCATAATTTTGTCAGGTAGACTAATTAACATATAACATAACTATTTCACTTAAGAGTGTATATATGTGTTGCACACACATATGTACATATATATATATGTGTCGAGAGAGAGTTATTGAACATATAAACATTTTCCTTTCTCTGTCATATCAAGACACTCAGACATATAGAAGTACAGTCATAGTAGTATTTGTGGCCCTTCACAGATATTCAATGCCATTGAAAAGACAACCCCCAACGAGTTTGATGGTGCTTTTGATTGACATCATCATTCCCCTGCCTTCCTTTCTCATCTTGTCTTCCACACACGTTCAACTTGTCCCTCGCTTCTAAAACCGAGGACTCTTTGATCACTCTGCATGATTGTGCTGCACTGCAGAGCACCACTGAAGATGGCAGCAGGAGGCAAGGAGGTTGGAAAGAGATGGAAAGTGGAGGACAGACAGAAAATATTCCACCTCTTTGTTTTTCTTTTTGTGGCATCTTGCCTTCAGGGATCCTGGTTCTTTGAGGGAAATTCAAGAGCTTAGCAGGGATATGTGTGTAACCAAATGTGTGTGTGTGCACGCGTTTGTGTGCGTGTGTGCGTGCATGCATGTGGAGAACCCCGGAGAGCACGACAGCCTCTCTCTTGTTGACTTCTAAAAGTCCTCCAGTGGCCTGAGACATGTTGGTGATCCACATCCTCCAGCAGCCCAAAGGATGTGAGGACAAAAGCACAGAGAAGAAAGAAAAAAAAAAAGAAAAGGAAACAGAGGAAGTGAAAGAACTAAAGACAGCTGGGAAGGGAAAAGAAATGAGAAACATATAAGGAAGAATTCATTAGAGCTAAATAAAGAATACAAGTGAGACCCGGTGCAAGAGGAAGAAATGAAGACAAATGAGAACAGAGGTTCAGGGGATAAAGCAGAGGCAGAAGAATGATGAAAGGAGCGATCTTCAATGGGATAACAAGGAGACGTGTCATTCATCTGTCAAGGTGACAAGAAGTACAGCTGCCAAAATACCACTGCTGATTTATTTACTCTGTGTCCTCTTGAGTTCAAACAGAGGTTAAGTGCAAAGTTTGATGTGGCCACAGGTAAGGCTGCAGAGACCAACATCGGAATGAATTCTTTATACATTCAGAAACACAGTGGGGCCTGTTTATGCTGCCTCAACCTTTTCGACCACAACAGAACACACTGATGATGCCAAGATAAGAAGGCAGCGTGCAGTGCAGCAGTGTCGGCTTTGCATATTCACAAACATGCACAACCATGGTGGCCTATTTCACCATCTGCTAAACAGAGCGCCGCAACAGACAGAAATAGTGATATGAAGAGAATGTAGGAGGAATGTAGGAGGGAGATCATCTTGTCCTTTTTTTGGGGTAAAGTGGTGAATAATGGCTCATAACAAGTGTGAATGCATGTTACATTGCATACATATTCCCTTTTTATTATCACTTAGCAATACTGGATGTAGAAAGGATTACATTATATGAAAAGCCATGTTTAATATACTCAGTTAATTTCCATACTTCTACACATTTTTAACCAAGAATGAGTGAAGCAGTGAAGAGGCAAGCAACAGTTTTGCAGTTTTATTAAAAAAAAATTGCAAACAAAAAAATTTGCTGTCATTCAAATCTGTCTTTCACTCATTATGATGATGAACTAAATGCTATTTTTTTCTTGGGCCAAATCCATTTCAGTCAAACAACTTTTATAAGTTTTTGCCTCAGCAAGCTGTGCAGCTACAAATCTTTTGAACCTATTTTTGTCTGCTTGCTTGACTTGCAAAACTGTGATGTAGGCCAATGTGTATTATTTTGTTAATCTTGCAAATGTGTGCTTTTTAGAGATGTACCAATTATTTGACCCAAGGTCTGCTTTGATGTATTAATTGGGATAATCTTGTAATTTCTTCATTTTCATTTCTATTCAAACTGATGAGACAAAGCCTGCAAACTGGTTTGGCAGTTAGCTTTAGCTGGGGTGCAGATATTCACTTTATCTTTCACTCAAACACTTTGCTGAATATATTAAGC